CTACGCCTGCCTGTGGCTTATCTTCCAATCGTTGTTTGTGGGAGCACCGTGTGGTGGGTGTCTTGATGTTAGTCCTTGTTGGTGTTGCTGTCTTAGAACGGTTGCGCCCTCTACGCCAACCACAAGCGGAGGGCCGGTAGGCAGCAGCCCCGCCTTCGCGCCGCGACAGCAGTTCCTAGGAAAGCCAAGTCCCGAGCGACGAAACTAAAGCGAGTATCTCTCTCTCTGTGATGTGTACGTGTACATGTTTGTGTTTGTTCGGAAAGAACCTAGGGACCCACCCCGCCGAGAGTGTAGTCAGCCTCCCAGAAGCTTTCGACGAAAGAAGACGTTCCGCGTCAAACGGTAGGCGGCGGTAGTCCGCAAGCAAGGAGCTGGGGAACACGCATTTTTTCATATTTTTGACAGTTTTCTGGTTTCGGAGTGGGCGGTTGTTGTCCCTCAGTCAGGCGGTTTTCGTGCCTTCGGCTAGAAGCTAGCAGCCGGTGTGCCATATCTCTCGTTTTTTAATAAATATCGTGTTCTGACACCGCCGTTGTGTTGTTCTCAGTCAGTCGTGTGTAGAATGCCCCGGAGTTCGATCCTGTATGTATGTGTTGTTGGGAGCCCCTGGGTTGTCTCTCTCCCGTCGATATCGTCACACCACGATGCGGTTAGCGGCAAGAATGCCGGTTCGCTCTTTTCTCACGGCATCCGTCGATGGTTTTCTTTTTCTTGTCCTTTTTGTCTTTTGCCTAGGCCCAGAAATACCTATTTTTTGCACCACAGAGAGAGTGGTGAATGCGGGGTGAAGGCTCTGGCTGTTTTTCGTCGTGTCGCGAGCGACTATGACCCCTTGGGTCTGTCTGCCGAAGAGGGTGCGGATACGGCTGGTCGGTTGTTGTCAGGTTGGTTCTCGTAGGCCATTGCGAGGTCTTTCGTCTTTTTTGTTTTTCATCGTTTGAGTCTGTATTTTGCTGTCTTATTACAGAAACGGAACATTGCTAATTTATTTCTGGACTTGTTTTACCGGTGGATGCACGGGGAAGATTTTGTTTCGCCCGTCGAACAAACTAACTCGTCTTGTTTGCATTTAGTATACGGTAGTCTGCACAATTTACAATCATCCGCCTTGTTCGCTCCACTCCTCCAACAGCCGCTCTTCTGACAGCGGCACCGAGATAGAGGCTTTTTATTCACACCAGCAAGGACGAATCGCTGCTTGCTCGGGAAAAACTGGCGATGCAGATAGTGATACTACGCGCACCATCACCAACGCCTCCTCCTCCCTCCGACGTAACCTATTAGCGCGTGTTCGGTTTCATGTATTCCTCCAGCAAAGTACGTTTGTTGTTTGGCGCCCGTTGCTGCAGTCTACGGACGACACAATACCTGACACACACACACAGCTTGCTTCGTACACAAAGAAATGGAGGTTTAACGTGTGCACAAATATATGTACATGCGGGATCCATCGGTGCAACAATGGGCTAAAAGGGAGGTGCCGAGATGCGAGAAAGGGGTGAAGACGGCTATGACGTTGCAGCCAGAGCCAAGCATGTACGAAAACACTGAGTGAGTCATATCTTGCCAGTCAGTGTGTTCCTGACTATTGCAGGAGGTGTCCTGTGTGCTGGATGCACACACAACAAAGGCAACGACGTTTGTCTGGGGCTCGTGTGTGTTGCGTTGATGGCTGTCTCCCGTGAGCGCTGTTATCATTCCCAATCATCATCTTGCGCTACAATTTGAGCGTGGCTTTTCTCGCAATGTTTCTCACTCGCTGGTGTTATTTCTTATTATCCAGGCCAGGCTGTGATAGGTTCATCTCGCAGTCGCCTCTCTTCTCTCAGAATGCATGATGCTTTCATTCGTCGTGTATTCGAGCAACATTATTACTTCTGTTTTCATCCGTTCATTGACTTGTGCTCATGATGTGCTCATCATGTTCACGTTGTTGACGTTCATGTTTGAATGCATGCTTCGGCCATGTTCATTTCCACGCCCACCGTTCCCAAGAAATTGACTCCGTCCCGGAACAAGCCCAATGAACCACACATGACATACATACTAATACGTTATACTTAGCTCGTTTTTCACAAACGCACCAATATATAACATGGTAGATGCAAGCATCCGTGGTGCGTGGTGGTATTACCACAGTTAGCTAGTTCGGCAGAGACGAAAGCTCGTCTTCTTCGCTCATCCCACTGATAAAGGGCGTTGGCGCCGTCAGCGATATGTTTTCCGAGTAGCCGACGGTGTTTCCCGGGGAGGGCAGGCGGACGGCCACGACGGTGCTCCCGGAAACAGCCGTGTTGCGGGCAGAGCTCTCTCCGCCCGTCCTTAACCCTGCCCTGCTGCTGCTGCTGCTGATGTGGTTCGGTTGGTTCAAAGATACGGGGAGCGGCATGACGACACAAGGGTAGTGGCCAGCGTTGGTTATCAAGTACCAGTTGATTTATTTCGCTTATGGTTGTTGTCTTCAATCAAGAGAGAGAGAGAGAGAGAGAGAGAGAGCTTAGGAGGAGAGCAATAGGCGAGGGTTACTTTCGAGTTGTCGTCCGGTCTTCGCTTGGGGTGGGCAGTTTGTTGCCTGATCTTCTTGAAGGAGGGAGAGGAAAAAACGGCGTGCGGTACCTGTACGATCACCGAAGCCGGCCGGCCAACTACCTCATCGTGACATAGGGAGCGACGTGAATGCTATGAAGGCACTTGGAGGGGGGGGGGGGGGAGTTGCAACGGCACACCAACCGTAATGATGGTCGACGTGTTTGCCTACCACTGCCCCCCCACCGAATCATCAGTGTTCTCCGCCTCGCTCGGTACGACTCGGCGTGTCCATACTCAATACGAAAGACCTCCGATCGATTCACTAGCTGATGTTATACCTTGCGACATTTCTTACAGCGTCCTGCTCGATGCCCTCCGCTACAAACACTCCGGCACTACTACGAGAAGCTGTGCCTCCTCCGCGCCTCCCTCTCTTCTTAATTCTCTGCCGCCAGTGCGAAACCACTTACTTACCCCCTACATAGCCTCCGGTTCACCCTCAACGACTACTTCCTCACCTGCCGTGATCTACATCGTCTGAGAAGGAGGTCGCTTGGTTGTGCGTCTCGAGGTCCCTGAGCCCCGCTCGAGCACCACCAGCGGCGGCTGCGGCGGCCCGCGCTTTGTGCAGCTCTGCGGTGAGAGCCCCCACCGCTCTCTTTGCCTCCACGTCTCGAGCCCCAATGACCCGCTCCGACTCTACCGTAATGCGGTGGTTCTCGCGTGCCAGCCAGGTAGCCTGGTGGCGGTTTTTCGTTCGAAAGGGCGCAGCAGCACGACGGCTCACGAACTCAGGGAACAAAAGGGGGAGAAAACCTGGAACCCCGACAGGTGGCGGCGAAGAGTGCCCGGCCTAGCCCGGTCTTTTTTGCGGTACTAGCTTTCGTTCAACCCACGGGGTGTCCACTCGCTGCTTGGGTACCACGCGAGGGTCGAAAAGTACCGCACATCGGGGGCGGGGGAAAGGGGGAGACTATTCCAGTTCATGAGCCATGTATGCCTATTTATTTCACAATCAATACTCCCATAATAGCACGACAGACATTTAGCCGGACCTAGGTTAGCCCCTTTCTTCCGAGGCCACCCTCTTACCTCAGCCTCCGCTGTGGCCACCCTCGCCTCCAGCTCCCTCCCCCTCAGAGCTTCGGAGCCCCTCAGCAACGACGAGTAGTCTCGGGCCCCTTCGCCAGGCAGCAAGACACGCATTCCCCCCCCTGCCACCGCGGTATTCTTGAACCTGCTACAGCTGCTGCTACTCCTCCGCACAGCTCTAGTAACCCCGCCCTTCTTGACTGCCCACGGAGACCTGAGGCTGCCGCGGATATCGCCCGGCGCCGTTGATGCGGCGGGTTTTCCTGTGATAGTCCCTCTTGTTTCCGGCCTTCTTCTGGCGGAACCGGTGGCGGTTATCACGCCGTCTCGGGCCGGCAAAGAAGAAGAACGTGGTAGTCTTACGGCCTGCTGTTGCTGTTGCCTGATCCCCTCTGCGGCTGTCATGGCACTAATCAGCCTGTCTGCTTGGACCGGCTCCGCCGACATTGCTGGGGTGCCAATGGTGGTGCCCATGCCGCTTGCTGCCCCGTCCGCTGCAGAAGTGTCAGCGGCCTTGGATGGTTGTCCACCTCCAAGCTCTGACGGTTGGTGCCCTTCTTGGTCAGCATTGTCTTCGAAAGCCGCGTCCCCATCGCCGCAACCGACGTACAGCCGGTCGGTGCCATCGAACCCACCTGCTGAAGAGTGACAGGAGAGGCGTGGCAGAGATTTTGCACGGCGATCTCTCATACGAAGAGGAAAGATAACGAAGCCGACGTCAACCCGCCCTGAAGTCCGACAAATAGCGCCTGGAAGCTGCCTCGGAAGTCATTCGTTTCAAATCAGAGTTGGAATGTTCAGGGTTGGAGATTTTTCTTCGCGGCGGCAACGCGTCCACCCCACAAATGCCCAATCTCGCGACAAGCCAGGTGGGAGCGGGGCGGAACACTGTCCTTCCTACAGCTGCACCCTCTTCGCTGGGAGGAACAATTCCACCAGCCACCCTATTATGTTCCCCGCTTAGCACAACGAAACGGTGTTTAGGTATTTTTCTCCTGTCACAAACACGCACATTCTTTTTATTGGTCGGTCGGATAGTGACGTCGACTTTTCACAGAGAGAGAGGGATACTGATATATATATAGAGAGAGAAGGGGACAGACCCTGCCCGCGTTGCCCGGTGACTAGAAGGCGTGCCCGTGTGCGATCAGTTCACGCGATAAGAGTGACACATTTTCATTTTTCAGCCGGGTTCGCGGTAAGTATTTGCTATAGAACACATACGCACACACACTTACACTAGGCAACTATCCCTACCATCCAATCTTCTCCGCGAGCCCCCCTCATGACCCGTCCTCTCGAGGACGCGTGGTCAATGGTCTAACAGCTACGGCATGCAAAACAAAAGAGTTTGCCCACCGAGGGGGGTGGTTTGCGTTTCTATGCATATTTCCAGCTGTAAGTAAGACTGCGTGAAAATAACGCGTTCCGTTTCACCCGCCGGTTGCTGCGATTGATGCCAGGATACAGCATCGCGAACACCGACATGCACGCTTCTTCTGTCTTTCGCTTTTTCTCCCCACACGTGCTTGCCGATACGAAAGAGGGCAACTCCACATCCCTACAGAACTCCGTTAAATCCAATACTAGGTAGGTTTCCTGCTCATGTCTTCCTACCTGTGTTCAAGCTTTGCAGGCGTGGAGCTCCCCCCAGGAAGCTTGCAACTCCACCCCCCGTTGCAGGAGCCCCGAAACAAGCGCCCAACATTCCCGGGGCCGAGCTGGAAAAGCCTTGAGCTGCTTGCTGCTGCTGCTGCTGCTTTCGTCTGATCTCCTTGTCGAACTGATTTTCGGGGTGGCGTTGAAGGTTGTTGACACAAGCAGTTTGCATCGCCGCCGGTCGGCGAGGGGGTGATGAACACGGATTTGGTCTCGTTGAGTGGGCCACCGGTAGTATCGGGACGTATGCGGGGAAACGAGTTGCGTGCATTTTCATGTAACCTAGGCGTGAACACAAAATCTGTACAAGTATATACTCTCGTGCGCAGGGAGAGTATGATAGGGGCGGAGTCAGCATCGGTTATTCATGTGGAGGTTGCGTGCGAGATTGTTCGGAAAGACGAAGCCACTATCCGTTCGATCCGGCCTAACTAGACCGTCCGTTCCTCCCCATCGAAGCAGCTGCTAGAAGATACAGCCAGTTTTTCAATACAACACCTGAACGTTCGTGATACCTTGTTTGGGACGCTCCCTTGGAGACCCTGTCGGCAGTTGTGCTTTCAGGCCAAAACTGACGATGGATTGAGGCCGGCAACTCTATGCTTTCCAGCCACTGTGCTTGCAAGCTGAAGGTGCGACTGATTGAGGAAACCCGCTCTATTTTACCCTTGGGGCGATTTGCGAATGAGTGGCGTATGCGGTGGTTTCAAATCGAGCATCCTCCCTCCTGCACACGGCGTGTGAGAGACTGAGCTCAGCCCGGGTAACAGCGACGACGACGACAACAACAACAACAACAACACCGAAACCTGCCTTCATTCTTCCTTTAAGGCGGACCACTTCCGCCCCCAGGACGGCGTTCTTCTTTCGCAAGAGATTTAGCTCGCGAGTCAGCTCCAGGTTTTCCGCGACGCGGATGAGGTTCTGCTGTTCGTTGTTCTGGTGCTCTTGTCGCAATGCCTCTCTCATCTTGAAAATACTCTCCTGGCTCGAAGCAGAAAAGTCGGTTGACATCAAGGAAGTGTGAAAAGAAAACGTTGTAGAGAAAGACGTAGATGGCATAACGAAATCGTGTACATACCAGCATGCAGTGACACACATACATGTGCCAAACACCGCACGGTATATCTGTCGTTTAAATAAACAGGGCATAAGTAAGCGGAAGAGGTATCATATAGAGCTTTGATGTGTAATATCCGGCTGAGACCAAGCTTGCTACTTGACTGGCTGGTCAACGTGGTCAACGCTCAAAACATGGACACACGCGCTGGAGGGTGGGGAGAAGTTGAAGGCGTGTTATTAAACAACCTCGTTTCATCGATCA